TTGGGGGGTGAGGTGAGGTGGTGGCGTGGTGGCGCGAACGGACTCGGTCCACTGTGGGGGGGAGGAGGAGAAGGGAGATACGGTAGGACGATGGTTTAGCAAAGGCGCTGGATTAGGCGGCGTGCTGGTGAGCAGCGATGCGGGCCTCGAGCTCGGGGCGGAAGTGGCGGATGAGGCCCTGGACGGGCCAGGCAGCGGCGTCGCCGAGTGCGCAGATGGACTTGCCCTCGATCTGGTAGGTGATCTCCTCCATCTGGTCGATCTCTGCCGGTGTGGCGTGGCCAGACTCCATGCGCTTCATGGTCTTGGCGAGCCAGTCGACGCCCTCACGGCACGGGGTGCACTGGCCGCACGACTCGTGCTTGTAGAACTCGGAGAGGCGCGAGATGCACTTGATCATGTCGGCCTGCTTGTTCATGACGATGACGGCGCCAGTGCCGAGGCCAGTCTTGTGAGCGATGAGGTCGTCAAAGTCCATGAGGGCCTCCTCGCACACGTCCTTGGGGATGACCGGGACGGACGAGCCGCCGGGAATGATGCCCTGCAGGTTGTCCCAGCCGCCGATGACGCCACCAGCGTGGACCTCGATGAGCTCCTTGAGCGGGATGGACATCTCCTCCTCGACGACGCACGGGTTGTTGACGTGGCCAGAGACGCAGAAGAGCTTGGTGCCATGGTTGTTGGCACGGCCAAATGAGGAGAACCAGTCACCGCCGCGGCGGAGGATGGTCGGGGCGACAGCGACTGACTCGACGTTGGAAACGGTGGTCGGGCAGCCGTAGAGACCGACGTCGGCCGGGAAGGGCGGCTTGAGGCGCGGCTGGCCGGGCTTGCCCTCGAGGCACTCGATGAGCGACGTCTCCTCGCCCACAATGTACGCGCCCATCGAGCGCTGGACATAGATGTCAAAGTCGTAGCCCGAGCCGCAGGCATCCTTGCCCAGGAAGCCCTGGGCGTAGGCCTCGGCGATGGCGGCCTCGACCGCGTTGTTCTCGCGCATAAACTCGCCGCGGAGGAGAATGACCGCCTTCTGCGCGCCCATGGCGTAGCCGGCAACCAGGCAGCCCTCCAGGAGCTTGTGCGGGTCGAACCGGAGAATGGCCGTGTCCTTGCACGTACCGGGCTCACCCTCGTCGCCGTTGACCACAAGGTACTTGGGCCGGCCGTCGTCGGGCTTGTTCATGAACGACCACTTGAGGCCGGTAGGGAAGCCGGCGCCGCCGCGGCCGCGGAGGCCCGACTTCTTGATCTCATCGATGATCCACTCGCCGCCCTTGGCCATCAGCTCCTTGGTCTTGTACCAGTCGCCGCGCTTGAGCGCGCCCTTGATCCCCTCGTCATGCTCGCCGTACAAGTTGGTGAAAATGCGATCCTCGTCCGCAAGTCCGCCGTACGTCCGCTCGGGCTCGGCGCCCGGGCCCGTCGCCGCCGGCCGCGCCGCTGCGGAGAACGTCGCCGCAGCCACCGTCTTGCCGACACGGCTCACCAGTGCCTGCACCGGGGCGCTTGCTCCTCCTACATCCAACCCATCTCCCCATGAGTCTTCCTCCCTCCTCCCCCTTCCCTTCCGTCCTCACCACCCCCCCTTCCGCTACCGCCGTCCCCTCCGCTCCGGGTCGGCGGGATGGGCAAAGGCCGCCGACGCCGACCCGCCTCCCCCCGT